CATCATAAAATCCAAAGCTCAAACAAGGAGGTTAAACACTGTGCAGAGAACCTCAAATTAGCCAGAAGCTGTGGAAACAAAACCTAGCTTTGTTAGACTAATGCATACAAACTGCTTTGTCTCACACCTTGTACCTTCCCAGAGTCCTATGTCAAAGCAGTACCCTATTGCAGTTCAGCAGCTTCTGCCTAGTCTCATCCACTCAGTCTCCCTCAGCCACTAACCTCTTAGAGACAGAAAACTCGGCAACAGCAAAAAAACAGCAAGTTCAAATACGACAAACAGATGAGGATATCAGACTAAATAATCAAGCCACTAGAAATTTTTCAGAACTTTATTTGCCACTCATCTTGTGAAAATAATCTCAGTATATTGACATATCAATACATAATTCTAAAATGTATTCAAAATTTTAAAATTTTTAAGTATTTAAGCAAATAGAATGAATCTTATAGTCCTACAACTTTCTCTTTAAAGCTTTAAGTGTAATTACACAAATTATAGAATTCTAGGATCATAAGAAATGTTTGGGTTGGAAAAGTCTTGTTCTAGGGCAGGACAATCCTTTCAGTAGAGACATTTTCTCTGATATCCAATCTAATCCTCTCCTGGCGGAACTTTAGGACATTTCCTGTTGTTGCATTGCTTGTTACTTGGGAGAAGCTGGCTACAACCTCCTTTTACACAGTCACAGAGAATGAGAAGCAGCCCCTGCCTGAGCCTCCTTGCTCCAGGTTAAACACCTCCAGATCCCTCAGCCATTCCTATCAGACCTGTGCTCCAAGTCCTCTGCCAGCTTCACTGCCCTTCTCTGGACACGCTCCAGCACCGCAATATCTTTCTTATTGTGAGGAGCCTGAAACTGAAACCAGGATTTGAGGTACAGCCTCAGCAGTGCTGAGAGAAGAGGGACAATTTCTTAGTGCTGCTGGTTACACTATTGCTGAGACTAGCCAGGATGCCCTTGGCCCTCTTGCCCACCTGGATACACTCCTGGTTCATATGTTCAGCTACTGCCAACCAAGACCCCTGGGTCCTTTTACCACCAGGCAGCTTTCCAGACACACTTTACCCAGCCTTTAGCACTGCATAGGGTTGTTGTGTGCAAGGGCAGGAACCATCAGTTTGGCCTGTAGAAGCTTGTATCATGTTCTTGGCCCATCAATCCAGCCTGTTCAGATCCCTCTGCAGCACCTTCCTACCCTACAGTAGATTAATACTACTGCCCACAGGGCTAGCAGAGACACCTTTCTAATGGTACTTTGCTCTCTCTCCAGTATTTACAGTTGTTATCTCTAAGGCAGCTGTGTTCAATAAATGCTCCATTGTGTGTATTTTGGCTGACAGTGATCCTACATGGACTCATCTAAGATTTTAATGCTGCAAAGCTCATTAGCAGTAGGCATAGTTATTACAGGACTCTGTCATGTTTATTATCCATGTATCTTCAGCAGCTAGTATAGGAAAAAGTTTTTGAGATGAAAAAATAAATCTCATCATTCACTTTCCCAAAACCTTGGAAATCCCATAGCTGAAGTTAACAAACAGTTATGATTCCTTTTAATAACAAAACAAAAATCCTTACATTTTGCCTTCATGGGGATCTTCTTCTCTTCCCTATGAGAAAATGAACATATTAAGTGCATGACAGCAGTACAGCTCAATTAATAAAAATAAAATAAAGGTCATAGGTTAAGACCTTCTATGGAAAAAAACCCCACAAAACAAAAGATTAAGAGGTCTGAGACATTTTTGAACTAAAGGGCTTACTGCAGTTCTGTGAAAAGTTTTCCTCCTCATTCATAAAGTGGAAATTCAGCAAAATATGTTATTTCTGAGGACTGCTCCCTGTTATGTTTCAAGGCTGCCTTTAGAGGCAGTAATTTTTTGAAGTCTCAATATTCCTAAGGTTAAGTTAACCACTGACCTATCAGTTTACAGATCAAGAGTCTAATACTGCCACTGGAGTTCAGCCATTCACATCCTGACACAGGTCTGTTGGAAGCATCCCAGGTAACGCTGCAAATTGCAAAACACATGTACCGTGCACAAAAATACTATTGAAAATATGTATTTCTTCTTTTTTTTCCCTCTTTCTGAAGTGTATTAAACCATCTGGTCCCCCACAGTAACTGAGTTATCTGCAGGTCACCTGGTTAGCTTTCCAGAAAAGCTAACCCACACAAGCCCTTTTAGTTATAATTAACTCATCCATAAATTTTAACCCCAATTTCATCCTTGAATACAGACCCACCACAATCCATAATTACTTTCTGTACAGTTTGTGAACATTTCATGGCAACTGTAAGACAAGTGCAATTAAATGAGCAGCAGATTTACCAGGACAATCAAGTTCAGCAAAGTGCCTAGCAAATTTACAGTGCCAATTCATTTGTACTTACCTTTGGACAACACACAAATGAGCACTTCTCTGATACTGAATACTTTTGATACTTAAAAGGTTTATTTTAGTATTTGAAAACTACCAGATCAAATTACTAGGTCTAGAAAAGCACATAATTAGAAAACAAGCAATTAAATGTCACTAGATTTTGTTCATTTCAATTGTATTTTACAAAGAAATGCCATTCATTTAAGAAATTTGAATACAAAAATTCCTTACCACTTCTTCTACCAGGTCTTCTACAATAAGACCTTGTTCATCTGTCCGTAGGTTTGTAACCCACATCCAGCCATCTTCCAATTCGTTATGGACAATAAACATGTCTCCTTTAAGGAAACTGAAGAGGGTTACAGCAAGACTTAAATCAGAGATACAATCATAATATAAAGTTTAATGAACATAATGAATTCTTGAGTATGATTTCCAAAAATATTCGGAAAAGACTGTCTGTGAAAAACGCATGAATTGATACCCCATGGGTATTTTTCTCACAGTTAAGTGGCTACGATATACAAGTTTTTATACTTTTGATTTATGCTTAATATCTAATATATACCTCCGTTTCATCAACTTCTAAGTGTGCAAAGGATGCATAAAACAAAATTCACACCACAGTAACATTAAAAGACAGTAATATTGTTCTTTTATCAACAGAGATCAAATACTGAACCAAAGTAAAATAACCCTTAATAGTCTATAAGAAATACTCCTTTCACTGAAAACTAATCTTGTGTAACAAAAGCTGTGGAATATCTATGCTTTATGTTCTCATGAAGACAAGTGAGAGAGAGAGGGAGAGAGAGAGAGAGAGAGAGCAGAACAGCTACCAGATAAGCCATGCAATTAGCTACAAGAAAAGTGTAAGAAGGATTACATGTCTAAGGGAGTTTCATTTCTGGAAGGTTAGTGTAAGTTACTCCTTGAGTGTTATCCCAATTCGGGCCACATGAAAACCTTTCAGTACAGCACAGACTTCTCAATCAAGTTTCACGATGCATCAGAGTACAGGAAACAGCAATTACAGTATTGAAGCTATTTCCACCCAAAATGACATCACAAATACCTGTGGTATTTCTCTCATTTGAAGCAGCTAACAGAAAAGGCATTAACTTTAAACAACAGCAAACAGTGAGAATTAAAAGAACAAAAAGCAGCAAACCACTATTGGAAACATAAATTCAGCTGCTAATGAACCAAGAAAGGTGACAGACAATAAGACCACCCTCCATCACATCTATTGTTACTGCATGGAACACAGGCTGACATTAACTCAGTAAAACCCAAACCTTGCTAAATATTAACTATAATATTAAAATTCGTCAGTCTTCAAGAGCATATTAATTCAATCTAGAACAAACTGAGGACTTTAGTCCCAGCAACACCATGAATGGAACTGTTTTAGCCACATAAACCTCAAAACCCAAGCACAAACTCTGCATTTTTGCTCTATATTAAAAGAGATAGAAAAGGTTTGATTTTCTACAGTTTTTGTCATGATAGCAAAGTAATAAAATGCTTTTCCCTATTAAGCTGCAAAGTGCAAATAAGACACTTAATGGCCTCAATCTATCTTCTTATTCACACATATACTAGGAAGCCGTATTTGCAATGTGCCATTAGAAAGCCCTTCCCTGCCTTATGACCTTCTTAAAAAACGAATCTCAAAAACACATTCTCACAGCACCCTTTAAAAAGGTCAGATAGGACCGGACTATGAGCCTTGGAATAAATTGCCATTCCAATGAAGATACAAAGCTCTCATACCTTTCTCTCTATTTTAGGCTAACAGTCCCAAAACCAAGCCAATCCCCAATTCAACTGATGTATTACATCAACTTATGAAACCAAGACTGTCTCAGCAGAGATCAGAAATCACTATAAATCTCTTTCAAATCCTACTACTTTTCCACCTGAAAAAAAAAATAATCTCAAAAAAGCAGTATCAATTCCAAGTAACCAGAATATGCTCCTCTATGGAAAGGCTAATTCTTTCTGTTCTTAAATTTATGAGTAGTCAAGATTCATTTTCTCTTTCTAGTAGTCTGAATTGATTTGCTTTAAACTATTTATCTGCCAATAGTTAGTTCTGTGGCAGTGCAGAAAAACAGTCCACCTCATTTCTTTCACACACTCACATAAGGTGTCTCTGCACAGAATTTTCTCACACATAAATTTATCCTCTTGGCAAAAATCTAAGGCTTCACAAAATATAAATCCTCCACATTCCCAACTGCCATGGCCTTTCAAAGATTATCAAAAGTGGACTCCCAATGACATCAAATCTCTAACATCACTAATTTTACTTCTATAATCCTTTCTCTTACAATTAATACCTACAAATATATTAAGAATAAAAAGTCTTATTGCTACTTTCATCAAAAGAACAGAGGCATCATCCTTCAACCTAACTGTGTTAAGCTGAAGATGCAACAGGTCAGGATTTGCACATGAACACCTACTTAAATCATCGGTATTTATAAATACTCTTGAGAACTTTGCAACTACTACTACTATTCAAACATACCTTATTTCATCAGTTTCTGGCACTTTGGTGTAAGGTAGAATTGCTCGAACTCTCCTTCTGTCCTCCACAGGCTACAATTTAAGAGAAGAGAGCAGAAATACTACTTTTCCCTCTTTCTAGTGTAGAATCCGCCTCCACAGCATTAGGCCATTCTGAGGCAAAGGACGGGTTACATACCCCCCTTGCCAGCATTTAATTTTGAAGCTCAAAACCACTGAGAGCTAGAAATGCATAAGTCATACAGATAGTTAAGAGAGCACTCATTTTAAACTTTCCTTAACTTAGAGTGAAAGAAATGTCCAGAAGTTTAACATTCAGAAACATCTTTATTTAGGTTTTGGGTTTTGGTGTGAGGGGCCTTAGACAGTCTTTTGTTTCATTTTAATTCGTAGTATAATCATAGTGTCATAGTATGTTAAGGGGTTGGAATGGACTTTAGAGACTGTCTAGTCCTACCCCTGCCTGCCATAGGCAGGGACACCTCCCACTAGACCAGGTTGCTCAAAGTCCCATCCAACCTGGCTTTGAACACTGCCAGGGAGTTACTTATATTTTTTTAAAGATTGGTACGTGTACAAAACCTTGGTTATTTCCAATATGCTTATTTTGAAACCATTGTTAAATACATGAAATACCACAGAACAGTGGAAATTACATTACAATGCTGCCCTTTTTAGCCAAGAACTGCACAATTTCTTGTTTATCTGTCTACTTACAATGCTGTTACTACATTTGGAGATAACTAACACCTCTAGCTTCCTCATTATATATTCCCATTAAATAGCAAATTTTTTTCAATCACTACTTTCTACCACTAAAAATGCATTTTTATGTAGCGTATACTTCCACATATGCTTATGTGCAATACAGGCAACTTTGTAAAATGCCTTTCCCAAAGAAAACTATGAACTGTGACTAAAGTTACAAACATTTAATCACACATCAGAATTTTACTACAAATTTTTACTACTTGCCTCTGGAGGTGCTACTGGAAATAAGAGCTTTTCCCCTTTCAGCAAACAGGACACATGACTGTAATAACCGATCAGGTCTGAGAGTGAAGCAAAGCGACGTCCACCAATGTAATAGTCTCCACACATGGCAATAATCCTGTTAATAGGCAAAAAAGAAACATGAAAATTTTTTGCTATCAATTTTTTTTAAAGGAGGTTAGGATCACATTTAATTCTTAAAAGACGTCTGCCTTCAGCAAAAGGCAGTATTACAGGGTCTGTATAAACACGTAACTAAAATTTAGCTAATGAACGTTTCATCAAAAATCGCAGATATATATTGCATGATACACCAGTCTTTTAAGACCCTATGGAAAGTGCTGGTTCACAGAAACATACAGTGCATTTGTCAGAACAAAATACAATTAAATGGAAGATAATGTAAGTGTCCCTGAACACTGAAATAATGCACCAGTAAACACCTTCAAAAATTCGTCACTTTGTTACAGTTAGTCTAGCATACATATTAAAAGTTAAAAAATTTCTCTGGAATAATCCAAGTATCTCCTTACACTCAATTTAAAAATTTGCTAACTAATGGGAAAAATGTTTACAAAATCATTTCAGGAGTTGTTACAAATCGGGTTTTTATTCTTTTACATTTGTGTTTTGTTCTTAAAGCACAGAGATTCTTTAATGCATACTTTAAACTAAATTATTTCTCCCAAACAGGGATGTAAAAGACATACAAAGATGAATATTCACAGATTAAACCTAAAGTTCATAAGCAGATAGCACTGCAAGGGGAGTCAGAGAAAAAAACTCCAAGGACATCAACTAGATCTTTTGGCATATTTTCTGTAAGATTCCTTGGCAAATTATTCAACAGATATTAGGTTCTAAATGAAATTTAGTGTTTTGGATTATTATTTCAAGCCAAAATGAAGCCTTCCTTCAGAACACTCAGTTAGCAAATACAAAAAGACTTCTGTAATCACAGAAAAGATTAAAAGGATGAAGATATTAAAAGGAAGAGATTAAAAATAAATATATTCCTTCAAAATCATAGAATCATAGAACTTAAGGGTTGGAATGGACCTTACAGATCATCTAGTCCCACCCACTCCCTGCCATGGGCAGGGACAACTCCTCC